CTGAAGGCCCATCAAACTTCCTCTTCTCACCAACCTCTGATCTCTCCAGACCCTTCTCCCTGATCTGAGTCTTAACATTTTTAGCAACCCAGATGGCGGCTTTCAATGTGGTTGCTTGCTTAACCATTGGACCAAAATCCGCTGGTAATCCGAGGGCAAACTTATTGACCTTTGAGAGTTCTGTTGGAACTAGGTATGGGATAAGCTACATCTTTTCTGTGAAACTTGCAGCGTATTCAGTAACGCTCAATTTTCCCTTCTTCAAATTCTGAAACTCGTTATTGATTTCCAGAAGCTCCTGCTATGAGCAGTATTGCAGCTTCAGTTGTTCCACAAAGTCTTCCCAAGACATCTTGCTCGCTTCTCCCTTGGGCATTGAGTCAGCTAATAGCTTCCACCAACTCAACACTCCGAATTTCAACAAAGGGATCGCAAGAGCGGTCTTCTGCCTGTTGCTGCATTCGCAACTTTCAAACATTGTCTCCATTTCGGAGATCCAGTTTATAACTTCTACCGGCGTCGGGCTTCCGGATAGACATGATGGTTTGGATGCCATGAAATCTTTATACTTGCATCCACATCCGTCGTTTCCTCCATCCTGGTTGTTACGTCTAACCAACGGTGGGTTGGCTTGACCAACAATTCCACTGAAGTTACCTCCTTCCGACTGCCCTTCACTTAATTTGGGCTGTACAATCGGCATCGAAGGTTCTTCACGATTCTGCCGAAGCAGACGTCTCGTTTCTTCTATCTGACGATCCAACATCGCTTAAATCATCAATTATACACCAGCCATTGTCATTGGCTCGGGTGCAGCAGCTACAACAGGTATTTGCTCAATCACCGGTGGTTGAGGCCGTTGATTCCTGTTTTCGTCTGCATTTCCAATGCCACTTCTTGTTCTTGCCATCGTTGATCTATACACCGAACAAGGTAAATTTAGATCCTCAGTTATGATAGAAAATCAAATCATCCTTATCACTCCGAAACATTTACATGCTAGTTCTAATACCGTAGTCCTACGTTTAGAATCCTAAACACATAAGGTTTCCATATCCAGTTGGCAACAAACCGTAGATCCGAACAAATAATATCATATATGGCAGACATATAACATTTAGCACATAAAAGCATTTTAGGCAACTTTCCTAAAATAAACTAGTGCTCGTGTCTAAAGTACAACAGACACTCACCTCACAATCTTCACTTAGCATTCTAAGTTTAAGTCTAGAAATCCTACAAATTCCTAGTTTGATTAAACTAATGCTCTGATACCAACTGTGACATCCCCAAAATCACGGCCAGAAAAGACCGATTTAATTTATGCTTTTAAAATAATTTCAGAGTAATTCTTTGATTAAAAGAGTTGCGGAATTTGTTCCCAAAACAAAATATGATAAAATAAAATTTATCAAAGCATTTCTTAAAGAAAGGTATTTTCATATATAACAAAACTCGGGATGTCATGTTCCGATACAGACTAAAAGCATAAACGGCACATTATAGGCCTTACAACAGTTATATACAACTACTGGCCTATAAACAAAATATCTTGATGAATTATCCAACTTATGCTCTCACGCCACTACCTGTAATGCAAATAAAACTGAGTGGGTCAGGCTTCGGAGCCTGGTGAGCATATAGGGTTTCAACCCACAATAAATAATTATATTTAATTTCACCAACCAACAATAACCCGATTACCCATTCCCGTTATCCTCACTTTACGTCCCTAAAACAACAACTATCACTAGGGACCTAGTCTAGGTTTTTTCATCGGGATGGACATTACTGCAAAGGGGTTTCCTCGACAATAGATGTCCTAAAGGCAACCATGAAGGGGATAGAGTACACCGGTGAACACATCGTTCACAACACCTACAGGTTATGAACCTGCCAGCATTCCACTGGACTATCTAGAAAGAGTCTGTGGTCGTCATCCATACTCCGCTAGATGACTAGATCAACAACAACACGAGGCCTCTCATCATTTTATTTCATCACACACCAACTGTCTACCCATGTTATACCCAACATATTAGTAGATAAAATAAATACATTTATATACAGCTTAAAACCTGTACAAAACATCCATTCAACAACTAGTTCAAATAAATAAATAATATATAAACACATAGCACATATTTTATAAAGAATACTTCATATCTATGTGTTAGAAGAAAACGGATATACACTTACTTGATCAGAAGATGATCGAACAACACTACGACTCTAAGAGTAGTATTCTTCGGTGAAACCGGGATGCTTTCTTGAAAACCGGGCTTCTTGCGGGCAGAGTTTCGGCTCGGAAACTTTACTTCTCGGGATCCTCGGGGGTTCGGGACTTGCTTCGGGTCTCGGGAATGATACTAGGGCTTCGGGGTATAAGTTGCACGCAAAACGAGGCAATAACGAGTGAGAGAGAAGAATTTGAGCACTAAAACTCGGCAGCCCACGACAGCTATTTATAGGGTGCTGAGCATCGAATTACGTTGGGCGTAATCTCAGAGTACGCTGGGCGTACTCCCTCTACAAGCAGTACGCTGGGCGTACATCGGGTACGCTGGGCGTACATCGGGTACGCTGCGCGTACTAAGTGGATCAGATCGAATGCGTCACTGCTTACGGACCCGGGGCACTCGAGTGGTGGAGTAGGGTGACGTGGCCCAACCCAGACCATGAACCATGAGTACGCTGGGCGTACTCCTGTACGTTGGGCGTACTCCTTATTTCCAAACTTCAAAAATTCATATCTTTCGCATACGAGCTCCGTTGTTGACGTTCTTTATATCCACGCGTAGGTGAGACTATGCTCTACAACTTTCATTTAGACTCTGTCGGCTAATTTTTAATTTATTTTTATTATTATATTTTTAACAGGCCGGGACAGGAAAAGTCCGTTAAAAATTCATAACTCCTTCATCCGACGTCCGTTTTCGTCTGTCTTTCTTCCGATGCACTACTATCGACGAGATCTTCGATTCTCGTTTAGATTGTTTAGACTAAAAATCACTCGATCTCATATTCGAGTTTCGGGCTGCATACCGCTAAGTCGAAACTTAGAAAAATCATAACTTCCTCATACGAAGTCAGATTTAGACGTTCTTCTTATGCACGCTCTCGGTTTAACTTATTCTACGACTTTCATTTAGATCACTAAGGCTAAATATCACTCTAACGTAAATTCACTATTTACGTCACGCAGTGTCGCGCCAGTTCTGTCGCGAAACTTCAACATGTCATAACTTCTTCGTTATAACTCGGATTTCGTCATTCTATATATATATTCGGAAACCTCGTCACGTCCACTACAACTTCCTTCATATATATCGGGTTTATCTAACATTTTATTTTTAACGCTTAAATTATCCTTAATTCAGTTAAGTCACAACAGTTAGGCATAAATCACATAATACTCAAATAATACATTCTTATTATTTCAAACGAGTTACAAAGGTTAACCTAGACTATTACATCATCATTAATGCCTAGCCTGGACACACGGGCGTTACATAACATCCTATCATCCTCAAATGAGTGGGAAAACTGAAGTTACAAATCGGGCATTGAAGAGAATATTAGAAAGAACAGTTGGAAGCAATAGAAAGGAGTGGTCAGACAAGCTTGATGATGCACTTTGGGCATTTCGAACGGCTTTCAAAACACCTATTGGTACTACACCGTATAGGTTGGTTTATGGGAAGAGTTGTCACTTACCAGTTGAAATAGAGCATAAAGAATTTTGGGCTTTGAAGATATGTAATTTTGAGCTAGCTGAACTTCGTGCCAACCGGTTAATGCAAATGAATGCCCTTGAAGAACTTAAAAACGAAGCATACACAAGTTCCTTGATTTATAAAGACAAGACTAAGAAATTGCATGATATGAGGCTTAAGGGTAATAAATACTTTCATGAAGGACAAAAGGTGTTACTTTTCAATTCAAGGTTGAAACTTTTCCCAGGTAAATTGCAAACAAGGTGGGACGGGCCATTTGTTGTTAAACAAGTTTTCCCACATGGAGCTATCGAGCTTATATCAAGAGACGGGACCCCTTTCAAAGTTAATGGCCATCGAGTGAAGCATTACGAAGAAGGAATGCCAAGTGAAGAAAGAGAGGGTGAAATCGTCAAATTCACACGAGCTGAGACAACGTAAAGCGGGAAGGAGTCCGGCTTATGACTCCCCAAAAAGAAGCGCTTGCAAGAGGCAACCTGTGGTTTTGAGTTTGCATTTTCTTTCCTTTCCTTTTATTTGTTTTAGTTTTATTTAGGTTTTTATTCTCTCACTCTTCTGATTTGTCTATGAATTCGACGTGCGGTATGGCATAAAACGAGTGTGGGGTGAGTATTTTTAAGAATTTTTAAAAATTAAGGAAATTTTTAACCCACCACGAGGTGGTGATCTATTCAGAACGCGAATTACATCTAGAAAAACCACCATGCCACGAGGTGGTAATTTCACCATGTCGTGGCGACAGACATTACTGCTGTTAATTTAGGTTTTTTTTAACCCAAGTCAAAACACGTTCATTTTTACTTCTCCCTCATTTCTCTCGCCGTGCCAGCTGCCCCACGAAGAACTACTCCTCTTTTTCATCAATTTCTTGCGTTTCTTCACAACAAGGTATGGATTCTTAGTGATTTCTTTACTTATAACCATCTATTAGAGCAGTATATAGCATTTACCTTCTGATTTTGACACGATTAGGGCCGATTTTGGAACCTAGGTTTCCGATTTTGCAAGAATCGGACCAATTTATGGATGTTTTGAGCCTTGATTTTGTTACCATTCTCCTACATTTCATACATAGAACAAACCCTGAACTTGGATTTACTGGATTTGGTGTTGAAACTGGTTCGATTTAACCAGTCCCACAAACAGTTCGTCGACCACGACGACTCGTCGTGGTGACATTTTTTTTCAAGGCCTTGCCTGTTGTCTTTTGATTGTAATAATGCACAGGGCTCTTTGTGTCTTCTTTGTGGTTATTTTGCAGACATGGCCAGCCGACCAAGACGCAACCAACCCGGAAGTCGTCCCGACTTTCCATGGTACACTTTTCCGCGAAATGTTGGGCCCAAGGTTTATACTAGATGGAATGCAAAGCTGGATTGGCTTAAGCAACGAAAAGTTCATGTGCCCGCAGTGGTAGATTGGCAGTGGATGAGTGAAACCGGATTGATGGAAGCAATTGAACCATATCTTGATAAATCGTTTAATGGAGTTCATGGGCAATTTTTTTTGTCTCGGGTGGAGGCGGATATTCCAAATTCAAGAGATCGTGTACAAAGAACTACTCATCGAATTTCTAGCCACGGTGTCTTTTGCAAGGAAGGATGGCATTTATACTGACAACAACCTCACTTTTTGCCTCGGCAGCGAGAAGCGCACTCTTAGCCTTGCGGATTTTGCACTAAGGACGGAGATTTACCTTCCGTCCGAAGTTCATTCCGAGTCTTATCAGCAATATATTGCAGGTTGTGTTAGAAATACAGAGGGAATTAAAGCAGAATTGCATTGGAATGCAATTGCCAATGGAGTCTATGAAAAAGGAACAACACAAGAGAGCTATATCCGTTCTCCTATCCATCGATTGCTGCACCGCCTAATCACCAACACTATTAATCAACGACAAGAAGGGGATAAGTGCCCTAATATAGACGTCTTTTTCTTATGGGCCCTTACTTTCGACAATACTCATGTGGACCTACCATTTCTGTTGGCGGATATTCTTGCGGTCCGAGCGGGAAAAGATAGGCGAGGGTCCCCGTTATATGGTGGTATGTTGGTTACCAGGATTGCGCGTTCATATGGCATACTTGACAAACGCGAATCCATGATGTTGACTGTGGAGCCACAAAAGCCCTTTTCTACACTTCTTTATAAGAGAGCGAATATTGTTGTTGATCATGGATTTGGAAATTTTGGTATTCCCGATGACACCCCGCGGGGCCAAGTTCTAAGGCTTGTACGACCAAGGGGAAATGCACCCGAAGGAGAGGAGCCACCAGTTGTCCCAACCAATGATGAAATGCCCATGGATCCTTATAACATTTCTATGAGGAGGTTTGATGATAATTTGGCACGGGGTATCAACTATACTAACATGGGATTGGACCACCTCATGCAGCAAATGCATGTGACTCGACCCGCACATTTCCCTCCTTCATATCCATATATTCCATGTTGGGAGGAATTATGGAGGGAGCAACAAGGAGGCGCAGGAGGAAGTGGTGGAGGAGCAGACGAGGAGGAAGATTGAGAGCATTTATCCTTTTTAATTTGGTGGTTTTTGAACTTGTTTCTTTATGTTTTTATTTGGTTTGGTTATGTACTTGAACAATTATGTGTTGATTTTGGTTGCTTGAAATGTGTATCCTACTTTTATTACCTTTTTCTTTGTCTTAGTTCCATGTTATATTCTAGAGTCCAGGTGAGGGTATATTTGGCAAATGAAGGTTCGTTATAGTGAAGGTTTAGAGAACGTCGATGGAAGCGAGATTTGAGAACATTTTTCGGGGGTTTAATTGAGTCATAGAGTGAAGGGTCACGTCCTAGAGCTTTATGTCAGAGATAGTGTCACGTTTATTTTGCGTAACAGTTCAATTCGACATCAGAATTTGCATTTTTCCGACCCCCACGACGTGGTACTAAACAACACGCCGTGTTGTCGTAGTGTAATAATCCAAAAAATGTTCTGTTTGGTGAAACACGTCGTGGTGATATCCACCACGACGTGGTGTTTTTCGAGTCAGTTACCGAGCCCGATCTTGTACTTCCAGTAGTCTACGTGTTCCAGAGTAGCGTTGCATTCATTATATTCATTCTCATGGTATGGATGAGCTGTTCCGACACCATAGAATTGTCTTTTCAAGCAATAATGAAGAAATATCCCGGCTGCCATGACATGGTTGACACTTTCCTATGTTGTGGGGGAGTTTTTTCAAAGCATAAGGAGGCTACCATTCTCTTTTCCGATTCCGAGTCCACACGTTCGAGCAAGCTTGAAGTCCTTTCCATGAGTCGCTTTTCATTTTCTATCCCAGGGGAGTTTGTTCTTTTTTCTCGCTCTTTTTAATTTTATGTTTTGTATACCATGCAATGAGGACATTGCATGAAATAAGTGTGGGGTAGGGGTTGATTATATTAGTTGAATTAGTATTTTAATTTCAGGCATAATTTTTTTAAAACAAAATTCCCTAGGATTTAATTTAGAAAATTTGGGTAAAGTAATTAGGATCCATGCTGGTATTTTATTTGATGATTTTATGAGGACCCAAATATTTAGTTGAGCCTATATACGTTCTAGTGCATTTGTGGCCCCCTTTATTCTAGTGAAATCATGGGACAAAAACACAACCTCGCTTACTTTGAGGGATGCAATATTTTTAGCATCCTAAACCTGAAATTTATCCAGGAAAGCTTAACTAGTCATTGCACATGAGACTAATGCCTTAACCAATAAAGGTTGAAGTAGAGCGCCCTTGCTTAAGCATGTAGGATATGAGTGAAAAAAAAAGGTGAGATACATGTAAAAAGAGAGAGAAAGAGAGAATTACAAGAAAATTTGTAAGAATTTTGGAGCATTCAAGTCAAATTATGAAGATAAAAGATCAAAATTCTGAAGAAATTCCAAAAGTTGAAGATACCCAAAAATCAAACAAGGAAGGTGGTGAATTCATATAAATCAAAGATCAATGATAAAAGAAGTGAAGAATTCAAAAAAAGCTCCATTGTAGTTAGGGCTGTAAACGAACTGAACGTTCGGCGGGAAGTTCGTTTATGTTCGTTTATTTAATAAATGAACGAACATGAACAAAAATTATCGTTCGTTAAGTTAAATGAACGAACATGAACAATGGTCTCGTCCGTTCATTTATGTTCGTGAACGTTCGTTTATGATGTTCGTTTATGTTCGTTCGTTTAAGTTTATTTATATTCATTTATATTTAATTTTTTTTATTATATTGTTATATTATATGTTCGTTTATGTTCATATATGTTCAATTGTGTTTTTTTATCTTTGTTCGTTTATATTTGTTCATTTATGTTCGTTTAGCATGTTCACGAACATAAACGAACGAACATGAACAATGTAATTTGATAAACGAACGAACATGAACAAGAAAATCTCGTTCGTTTATCCGTTTGTGTTCGTTTGTTGTTCGGCTAACTTAAACGAACGAACATGAACAAGACCTTGTTCGCGTTCGTTTGGTTCGTTTACAGCCCTAATTGTAGTATCAAAAGTTGTAATTTTCTAGATTATGTATGTTTGGGTTGCTTGACCAAAAATACCTTGAGGTTAGAAAGATTTATGGGGATGGATTCGGAGGGTTGTTTAAAATGAGGATTGTTCAAAATAAGTGGGCGAGTGTTTATGAGGATTGTGAGTATTTAGGATTAGGGGGTCCTTAGGAAAAATTTTAGACACAAATGCATGTGTTGCGGTATTGGCATAATGGCTGGGTTTGATTAAGATTGTCTTATATGATATTGGTGTGCTAAAATTCAGTTTTGCTTGGGGACAAGCAAAAGTCTAGTGTGGGGTATTTTGATATCTGCATATTTATACACATGTTTATACAACATACATTAATATTTTGATTACTTTTATGCCCTTATTTGAACAAAAGATACTTAATTTGATATGAATTGTGTTGTAGGGACCAAAAGACATGCTTGGAGCAAAAAGGAAGCTGGAAGTTGGATTAAGGAAGCTGGAAGATGAAAGTTTGAACCAAAGTTCTAAAATGAAGAAAAATATGCCCAACACGTCGTTGTGATCTTACCACGGCGTGGTGACTTGAAGAATCCCGATCAGCTTCGAAGACTTGGAGATCACGGGATAAGTACGATGACCACGACTTGGTGGACCCACCACGACGTGGTTCCCTGATTTCGGGAAAAGTATTAATGGTTCACATAAACCTCCGAATTGGGACTTTTGGCTCTAGAGAAATTGACACTTTTGGAGGCAAAACACTGGAATTGAGCGTCGGAAGCAAGGATTTCATTCACAACCATTGGAAGGAAGAGCATTAAGGCAATTGAACTTACACTTCGGTTTTTCTTAGAATTAGCCATGTCTTACACTTTGAATTTCGTTTTTGTGACTTTGTTTGCTAAAATCATGAGCTAAATACTCATGACTTTCGTTTAGTCTAGGATGAGTTGAATATTTAGGGTTGATTTTATGGTTTGGATTTAGATATTTTGTTATTTGTTGATTTAGCTTATTAAAGAACCTCAAGTACTTTTGATAACTACTTTTCTCTACTTATTGCTGAATTTGATTAAGTTAGTATAAACATCTCTTTTAGTTAGATTTGAATCTTATGATCTTGTGATTTGCAAAATTGTAGGACTAGAGTTTTGAATAAAACCTAGGGTTAAGTAGAAAAGTGGGTAAAAGAGTATAGGAGCTAATATATAACGACAAATCATATATCAAATTGAATCAATGAATTAAACTGATCAGTTAATTATAAGTCTAATCAATTCGAACTAAACACTAGTGAGCTGGTAAGTTTGTCCGCCTGATCACCGAATAAATAAGCTAGTTTGCTAAAGGATTTAATTAGTGAATACTAATTTGGTCATCTTAGGAATCGGTAACAAAAGAAACTAAATCCATTGCACCTCCATAAATCAACCATAATAACAACAAATCCGAAGCTGAACGAAAGTCTCTTTCTCACCTTGGTTAATTCATACTTGTTTGCTTGCTTAGTTTAGTGTTAGTTTAATTAAGTGAATTTTGAGTTAATTTGGTAATTTAAGTATCTAGTCTTGCAAAACTAGGAAAACAAAACATTTTCTTATTTGATTATTAATTAGTTAAATTACTAAAAGAAAGTAGTTTAAACACCGTTCCTTGTGTTCGACACTCGTTCTTACCATTGCTATACTATTGCACGATTAGGTACACTGCCTAGTGTGTTTAACAGTCTAGTGAAGGGAATGACTTTTATAAATTAAAACTTGGATAAAAATATAAGCACATTAAACTCACATCAAGTTTTCCATAAAATCTTGGTGCATTTGATAAGTCCAAAAGTCCTCATATGACTTTTGAAGCTCAGCAGTCATGGTAGCAATCATTATACACGACACTTTGGTGGCGTCCCTTTCATGAGTCTTATACTCAGCAATCTGCTCGGGAGTAGCAGTAGATTCATCAATCTCCTTAAGCTCTTTATCAAGGACATATTCTTTGTCCTCGTAATGAATAGCCATTCAGATGTTTCGAATCCAATCATTGAAATTCGATCGATCAAAAATGACCCTCCCACATAGGTTCATGAGGGAGAAAGAGACAGAAGCAGCTGAGTTTGAAGCAGACATCTGAA